TAACACCTCTAAGCTTCGGCACCTATATGACCTGTTTGTGTTGCAAGTGCCGTAAAACACGAGAAGGTTATACAGTGCAACCTTTCTATAGCGACATCGTCGGGACCAGAACAAAATGTCATTATAGAGAGTTGTCGTTATAGAGAGTTGTCATTATAAAGAGTTGTCATTATAAAGAGTTGTCATTATAGAGAGTTGTCGTTATAGAGAGTTGTCGTTATAGAGAGTTTTCATTATAGAGAGTTGTCGTTATAGAGAGTTGTCGTTATAGAGAGTTGTCATTATAGAGAGTTGTCGTTATAGAGAGTTGTCATTATAGAGAGTTGTCGTTATAGAGAGTTGTCATTATAGAGAGTTGTCATTATAGAGAGACAACTAAAATTACAACTGACCTGGGTGCGGGCGGCTGAGGCTTGGGCTGTTTGAAGACCTGGGCACTCTGGATCATCTTGAGGGCAGTGAGCACCGTGCGGGCCGCCAGTGGGGCGTGGTGCTTCTGTTGGGCGATCCGAGATTGTTCCAGGTGGCACCATACCACCAGCTCTAGCTCTGCCGCTGACATACCTTCTACTCCTGTGTGTGTGGGGAGGGGGGGAGAGTGAAAGGAAGAGTGAGAGAGAGAGAGAGAGAGTGAGAGAGACAGAGAGAGAGAGAGAGAGAGTGTGTGTTGTAGGTGACAGCAGACTACCAGCTCTATGCTGCCCACATAGTTCCTACTCAATAGTGAGAGTGGGAGATTCCGAGTAGAAAAAGCACTCACCGCTACTGTACCTCACCAACAAGGTCTGAGGCCTGAGGCTTAGAACATTTGACACAGAAGAGATATTATATCCCCCCTCCCAGACAAATAGAAACAAAAAGAAAAAGTGCCCACAAATTGGTTACACTATAGACAGACCACCATGTTCCAGCACCAGAGACTGTTTAGACAGCAATGTAACCTTGGCAATGAACAATATACAGACCCTTCAGCTCACACGACTTCTCACATTATACAATTCCCCTCACCTCACCTCACTCCTCACCTGACCTCTCACCTCACATGACCTCTCACCTCACCTGACCTCTCACCTCACATGACCCTTCACCTCACACAAACCATCACATTACACAATTCCCCTCACCTCACTCCTCACCTGACCTCTCAGATCATACACCTCCCTGCAGATGACCTCTCACCTCACCTCATCTCTCACCTCATATGACCTCTCACCTCACCTATGACCTCACACAACACAACCCCACCCCCCTCACCTTGCTCCTAGTGAGAAGCGTTCTCCAGAATGACATCAGCCATGGTGGTCACCATCCGGTCGGCCACACGACCCCACATGACCCCTCACATTATACAACTCCCCTCACCTGACCTCTCACCTCACCTATGACCTCTCACCTCACACACCACCCCACCCCCTCACCTTGTTTCTCATGAGAAGCGTTCTCCAAGATGACATCAGCCATGGTGGTCACCATCTGGTCGGCCACACTCAGCAGTGTGCCTTTGATGTCCTCCAGGGTGAGGGTTCGAGTCCCGTCAGAGAAGCGGGCCGGGGGTGCTGCACTGGCGTCCTCACTCTCCCCAGCTGGTAGAAGAAGACAACACAAAAGATTGGAGATTTTAGTTTAGTTTTAGTAGAGGTTTTAGGGGCTCGCAACTGCATAAGGTCAAATGAGCGCCAAGGGGTGGATGTCAACAGAGAAGTCTTTACATT